TCAGGAAGAGGCAGCTGAAGTTTCTGAGACACTTAATGAGGAAGGAGGGCATGGAGAATCTGATACTCACGGGTCGAATAGAGGGAAAGAGAGACGAAGGGAAAACAACGCATGACATACCTTGCGGGCTTAAGGAAGTGAATGACAGAACGTGATCTCGGGGAGGAGGCAGATGGAAGGAACTTGTTGAGAGCTGCAAGGGATAGAAGGAGGTGGAGAGCTATGATCGCCTACGTCCTGAAAGGACATGGCACACCAAAAGAAAGAAGCTCCACTTCATCACGCGCAGACTCAGCGAACCGCTTGAGGTTAATCACATCACAAGTGCGAGTCATATTTAGTCAGCGGAATTTCATCCTTTCATATTTTCTACGATAGAAGTTAACGATAATGAATCACTTTCTAGTAATCAAATTCACGAGACTATAAGCAACATTCATTGGGAATAGATTATAGTCTCCAAGAGTAGCTTATGAAACATCTTTTTATAAACTATCGGGCGTTTACTAAGCTGTGCTTCGCCGGCGAATAGAGACAATCGTGAAGTGAGAGGAGATATAAATGTGTCAATATCTGCTAACTCACTTATGTCTTATCTCCCCCCACCCTCACTTCCTCACTTTGTTAATTTACATACGTTTAATACGGCCCGTCAAAAATGTGTAAATTTTATTTTCATTTTTTGTTTGGAAGTAAAGTCTGATGATCCGCAGTCCTTTAAAAGGGCTGTGGTGAAATAATTTATTACATGGAACCTTAAAGTGGTCTGTTTTTATTTAAAATATATATATATATATTATTCCAGGATCATCTTCCAACTTATTCAAAATTATATTCTCCCTCACTAACTTTCTAACATTCTGTCCTGGAGTAACCAGATTTTATTGTCAAGCATTTTTTTACTGCTCTTTGGACTATCATTGCTGAAACTCTTCTATTCCGTGGCAAAGGCCTTATGGCTTGAGTTGTTTTTTGTTTTTTTAATTAATCTCTTTAGTTCTAAATTGAAATGATGATCCCTCTTCTTATAGTGACCTCCTGATACGCTTTTCCTCTATATTGTTTCCTCTTTTTTAGACTTATTCACCGTTTTCTTGTTGGTTCTTGAATGGACTTTGAAGATGGAAGCCGAATTATGCATGTTAGTAACATTTCTGATGGTATGAATGATCGATTTTTCTCTCATCATTGCTCAGTTGGGAAGATATTGGGTCTGAAACAGAACAACTTTAACTTGCTCTCTCTTTAGCTAAATAACGCAAAGTGATTCTGTCATGGGTCCTTACCTATAACTACAGAATGAACTCTTCCTAACACTATGTATACTACGCCTCTCAAGAGAGAGGGTCGAATCAAGCCGAGCTTCTCGGCTTGACTGTCGAACTCTATGCCTCTGAGCAGAGAGGAACCCGGACGAGGCTCCGCCGACGGGCAGAGTCTCGTTCGGGGAGGTTGACCAACCCGATCCCGTTTATACGGGTTCTACGGGCATTTTTTGGCCGAGCCTACGGGATCGGGAAACCCACATTAAACTCTGGCTTGTGCCACATGCAACCCTCGTGGGAGGGTGACTAGATACCGAATCGAGCCGAGCTTCTCGGCTTGACGGTCGAACTCTATCCCTCTGAGTAGAGAGGAAAACGGTCGAGGCTCCGCCGAAGGGCAGAGTCTCGCTCGGGGAGGTTGACCAACCCAATCCCGTTTATACGGGTTCTACAGGCATTTTTTGGACGAGCCTACGGGCTCAGGAAACCCACGTTAAACTTGGCCTTGTGCCATATGCAACCCTCGTGAGGGGTGACTAGATACCGAATCGAGTCGAGCCGATAGTAGTTCACTCCAAACCAGACTGACAGTCATACTAAAACCTTCCACATCTTGTATTATTATTTCGTGTAATATACCTTCGTTATTTCTACTCTTGTGTTCGTGTTGTTCTTCCTTGGACCTAACTTGGACCATAACAGATTCATACCAAAAATTGTAACAAGATGGCTAGACGTCTTATCTGAAAACCTGGAAAAAAGAAAATAAATTAGTCTTTTTTCTTAGATATTACACATTTTATGGGGTGGACATTTATGTTGTCACACGATTGGAACAATTTTGCTGTTACAAGCGATCAGTATTATATTTATATCCTCCGTGTGCTCTCTCTCTCTCTTTCTCTCTCTCTCCCTCTCCCTCTCTCTCTCTCTCATTAAGTCAATATATGTCACAGAAATGAGATACGTCCTAGAGTCACTGTTAGTGTCAGTTAGTATAGGGGAGTGACGTAATTGCTTATTCACGGAAAATCTCGTTACGACGCATCGAAATAACGAAAATCATCGTTTGTCTGTTTGTTTAGCGGTATATCAGCACTTTATGGGTCATTTCATGCCGAAATTTAATTTTCTTGGGACATTATTCATTTTCTTTACAAAAATGTATTGCTAGTATTTTTTTTACCACGAAAATATATTGCTAATATTTTTATTATAAAATGCAATTTTATACTTATTTCATAGTACTTTGCCTCCAATTTGAGGATCCACTATTTGCCCATAGCTGAAACTCTTACAGGTTTAACAACCCCGGTCAGATTGAACCTGGGAACAACAGCAATTAAGAGGTGCTTCCACGCTCCTCAAAACCTCCTGATCAGAGGCTTTGCTGCCGGATGTAGTTTATCGTCATACACAGGACATGAAATATATCGTAAGTCGAAGGACCCCTGTATATCATTTGTGCTAAGATTTTCTGGTAATTATCGCTAGCTACTGCGTCTATTTTAAATGTTACGAGTCTCGACTCGAAGTAGTGCCGATAAATGTTGCAACTAAACTAGAATCAGTTTAAGAACTCCGCCTCGGCATATATTTAACATTCATCGAACGTCGTTTCGCGATATAAATCTTTCTTTTTTCAGAATCTATAAACCAGACGTTGAATGAGAAAGATCTGAATCCATTACGATGCCACGGACGAATATTAATAACCATTTTGGAAGAATTCGAACTTAGCCAAAGTTTTCCTTTTTTTTCTTTTTTTCTTTTTTTTTCTTTTTTTTTTTTTTTTTTTTTTTTACAACGGCCCTATTTAACATAAAACATAATAAAAAGATATATACTTTTCAGTTCATTATCATTAAACAGCCGGAGGAGGTTAATCGATCTCTGTAATTGTGAATTTCTGGCGGCTTTTACAAGTACAAATTTTTTTTTTTTTTATCTCTTTTGACTTACGCTCTTTATGCGATCATAAGCAAACATTAATTTGACAATATTTAAAAGGAGGTGCTGAAAAATTTCGATCCGTTTCCACAAACATATATTTTCTGGCTTTAAACAATCTGCAAATGGTTCATAACCCGAATAATACGAAACAACCAATGAATAAATACAACATATATATGCACAGACATACAGTCATGATGATCGTAACATTTTTAACAAGATTTTCGCTCTGTATAAGGCACGAGTGCCACTTGAGGTAGAGGTTTAGAGAGTAAGAAGTGCAGATTTTCTGCATATGTGGGAAAGAAAACGCTTAATTCTAGGCTTGAACATATTAAGATTATAGTGAACGAGGAAACAACCTCTCAGGAGCAAGGTTGTTCGAGCTCTTACTACTATTGACGGATTACGAACAGCATTGTCTACCAAATTTTACTCAAAAAGCTTGGGTCAGCCTCTGGTATGTTTCTCAGGTACTTTTTAATGGTGCTGCGCTCTAAGATCGTATCCTAATGAAGATAATACCAAGAAGTAATTGCCTTGACAAATCGCATTTGGTGCGAATCGAATCTGGGTCTCCTTGGTGGGACATAAATGATCTAACCACGGCTGTGGTCAGTAGGCAGCGAGAGCTATTGACAGTTGAAGATGAAAGGAAATTACCTGTCCAGCATCGTCATGTTTTAGAATCAATGCAGATAACTGCATAAATGCTGCTAACATCGATTCTTTATCATTCCATCCAGCAGTTTCTTAGATCTCCCAATGCAGCTGCTGTGGCATGACCTACCTGTCTAGAACAAGCATTATGCGCATCAGTGACCCTGTTCGGGACGTGGTACGACGTAATAAACGATTTGAAGAGGTGTGTGTAAATGTCAGTCCAAAAAGAGGATAGGTTCACTTGTGACATAATAGGATTGTTCACTTTCACAAGAGTTTAACAAAAAGAATTAAAAAACTTGATTGATTGATCGTTTCTTTTTTACTTATCAACCCATTACAGGTTATTTAAAGCCAGAAAATACTTTTACATAGTAAGAAATTTTATGATAATAGTGATTTAGTGACACAAGTCTTACTAATTAAGCCATATCTGGGTAGCGAAGGATAGGTGGATTCATACCTTTCCTAAGTGTACTTGCGCGTAAATGGATATAACGAACCCAATTGGAATTAGAACCCGGCTCTCCATTTAACAATTTTGAGCTTTACACCAGCAACACATCCAATCTCAAACGCTCACCCATGTAGATTCTGAGTAAGCTCAACGTTTCTTAACTTCACTGATAGTACAGGAACCGGTGTTGGAACGTGATACGGCTGTAAGCCTAGAAAACCTAAGGCTTATAGATTAAAAAACCATATTAGAAAACTCGAAACCTTACTACTGACTCCCTGGCAATGTCGGGAATCAGCGAAAAGCGGACAGCGCAAAAGGGTTTCGGCTTTGATTGATAATATACATTTTTTTTCAAATACTTCAACTTTCAAAGGAAATATTCATCTTTTAATCCTTTAAAGCAGGCCCCATATTTATATAGGTTGGCTCTGCTAGGAAACTAAATCAGATAAACTTTTAATGTCCTTTTTATTCGATGAATCAGATAATGTCCCTTTCAACGCAATCCAGAAACATTTGGCCAATAGAAATAAAATGATACAATCCTTTGTCGCCTAAAAGCAATGGAGGCTGGCCGTTAATAGGATATCTACTAATCTAGATAAGTGTTTTTGAGATGATGAGAATCCCTGATCAACAGGCTCTCTTTGAAATTTATTATGCATTCCACCAGATTTTTCGCAGCGGTTACAACAACTGAGTCAAGTGCCGTCAAGGTTATTTACCGTTTTTACGGATTCGTTGCAAGTAGTTACTGTCACGAAAAGATCGAGAATACGTTTTCATGTGGATCCACTCGACTCAGAAAACTGACTAGTGGCAACCGTCATCCATCGACCATTTTGACGCTTGGGTTTTAACGGAGGTTAAGTAACCCGTAGCTTTTTCTTCACTAAAGATATTAGTCTTCTAGTTTTGTCATATTTTCTTCGTCGTTGTAACACAAACCGTTGCAGCTTCAAACAACGGCGACAAGACATCTCTTTCTTCAATGTCCGAACCCAGCGTTAGGTGGAGATTTGTAAGTTGGTGATATACCATCCCAACAGGTGAGGGGGGCCGATTGATTGTTGTAGGTTAAATAGAAAGATGAAAACAGATATAAATCGGTTCGATTTAATCAAATATTTGATTTATTTCTTTAATTAGAAGGAAACTGGTGTGTTGTCTTCCCTCTCATGAATGACTTCCAAGAAAGTTTAAGGAAAATTCTAGTTGATAACACAAGGATCATTTTCAGGTTATAAAGTCATACACAGTTCGACATTAGGGAGGTTTGGCTTATTAAACTTTATTCTCTCTCTATCAATCTCACACTATTTTAAAAGAGTTCTAAAAATAGACGTCTTGTCCCGTTCATGTGTCCTTAGATGGCACTTGACCGCCAAGACGTACGCAAACCGCACGAACACCACACGGTAAAATTATTATGTAGCAGCAACACAGAATTTCACCATCCAAAACATATCCATGGAACATACTTAATTCGGCGCATATCCATGGTCTCCCGAATCGACGGATACATATATATATATATATATATATATATATATATATATATATATATATATATATATATTCAGACATATATATATATATATATATATATATATATATATATATATATTCTGACACACATATATATATATATATATATATATATATTCAGACATATATATATATATATATTTGTATATTTAGGCAGCAATCCTTCCTTTATGCATGTTTCATTAAAACGACAGACAAGGTACTACGGTTGAGCTTTTTATTTAATTTTTCTTGTGTTCTGACAAGAGCTTTCTTTTCTGGACAAAAGGTGTGTAAGAACTGTCCGAATGTTCTGTATTTCCGAGCGCTTTCGGCTATATCTTTAGCCATTATCAAGGATGATTCAATATCAGCTTAGTTGAGTGTATGCGTTCTGTGTATGTTCAATGTGTGGTAGTGATGTTTTTAGTTTCCGAATACGGTTAGTACATTGTGGCTTTGTTCATAGTTAATATTGTTAAGAGTTGGCTTTTTTCTTTTTTATTATTAGAGCTTCCATTATTTTTAGTCTTTTTTTTTGCAAGTGGATGCAGTTAATATATTTGTGTTTTCTACTAGTATGTTCCTAATAGTGTCAGGTAAATCTGAGTGTGTGTTTAAATGTGTTCTGATGGAACTGTGATCAGATAGGTGTAATGTAAGACGTCTGGATAAACATGTGGTTTGTAGCCGATGTAATTATTTATGAGTCCGGTTTGGTGAGGAACGCAGTTCCTTAAAGGGCATTTGAACTCATAGATAATGTTTGTTCTTTGTAATTTTGACTTAGTTGGTGTGTTGTTATTTTTGAGGATAAGGTTGGCCGTCTTAAATTTTTTATAATAGATAATAAGTTTGATTTTTTATTAGGATCAATAGGAGTAGTATATTTCTTTATAATATGTCTTAGAGAAGATTCATCTTGTTTGTAATTAATATGCATTTGGTTTTTGTAATAAATGTGTATGTGATTTTTAGTTGTGTGTTCGCTATCGTTATTACTCGCTTTGGGGAGGAATAGTCTAATTTGTTGGTCTATAAGGTAGTTAGGGAAACCGTTGTTAATTAGTGTTTGTTTAACGTTGTTAAGTTCTTTGAGAAAGAGTAGTCGAGAGGATGAGTTCTGGTGGGCTCTATTTAGAAAGATTTTTTACTACGGCTATTTTTGTACCTAAGTGGGCATTCGCTTTTGAAATTAAGGTGGCACGAGTTTTTGCTGGTGGGTTTTTGTATAATGATGTAATGAAAGTGTTATTGTTGTGTTCGACGAGGATATCTAAGAATGGGAGTTTGTTTTTTTGGCTAAGTTCATATGTGAAATTAAGGACGGAGTTTTTCTCAAATGTGGTCTTAAGTGTCTCTATTTCTTTAATGTTATCAGCTAAAATGAAGATATCGTCTACGTAGCAAACATAGATTTTCGGTTTGAGGACCTGTGTAAATATAGTATTTTCTACGTAGGACATATAATAGTTGGAGAAGCATGGACCCAGTGGATTTCCCATACTAACACCATTAGTTTGGGTATAAATATTGCCATTATGATCATAGAAGGGGACTTTGGTTGTGCATGCGTGTAGTAATTTTTTTAGGATGGGTGGTTTGATGAATGGCGGAGGGATGGAATTATTATTGTAAACGGAGTTAAGGATAATATCGATAGTTTGGTCGACAGGGACGTTTGTAAATAAGTTTTCAACGTCCAGTGACGCTATCATACCTTGATTTGTTCCTTTTGTAGTTTTTAAAATTTGTAGGAATTCGTGGGTGGAGGTGATGCTGTAATTGGTAGGTAGGTATTGAGTGATGATGTCGTTAAGGAATTTTGATAACTCGTAGATGGGTGTTATATATTTACACAGGTCCACAAACCGAAAATCTATGTTCGCTACGTAGACGATATCTTCATTTTAGCTGATAACATTAAAGAAATAGAGACACTTAAGACCACATTTGAGAAAAACTCCGTCCTTAATTTCACATATGAACTTAGCCAAAAAAACAAACTCCCATTCTTAGATATCCTCGTCGAACACAACAATAACACTTTCATTGCATCATTATACAAAAAACCCACCAGCAAAAACTCGTGCCACCTTAATTTCAGAAGCGAATGCCCACTTAGGTACAAAATAGCCGTAGTAAAAAACTTTCTAAATAGAGCCCACCAGAACTCATCCTCTCGACTACTCTTTCTCAAAGAACTTAACAACGTTAAACAAACACTAATTAACAACGGTTTCCCTAACTACCTTATAGACCAACAAATTAGACTATTCCTCCCCAAAGCGAGTAATAACGATAGCGAACACACAACTAAAAATCACATACACATTTATTACAAAAACCAAATGCATATTAATTACAAACAAGATGAATCTTCTCTAAGACATATTATAAAGAAATATACTACTCCTATTGATCCTAATAAAAAAATCAAACTTATTATCTATTATAAAAAATTTAAGACGGCCAACCTTATCCTTAAAAAAAAATAACAACACACTAGCTAAGTCAAAATTACAAAGAACAAGCATTATCTATGAGTTCAAATTCCCTTTAAGGACCTGCGTTCCTCACCAAACCGGACTCATAAATAATTACATCGGCTACACAACCACATGTTTATCCAGACGTCTTACATTACACCTATCTGATCACAGTTCCATCAGAACACATTTAAACACACACTCAGATTTACCTGACACTATTAGGAACATACTAGTAGAAAACACAAATATATTAACTGCATCCACTAAAAAAAAAAAGACTAAAAATAATGGAAGCTCTAATAATAAAAAGAAAAAGCCAACTCTTAACAATATTAACTATGAACAAAGCCACAATGTGCTAACCGTATTCGGAAACTAAAACATCACTACCACACACTGAACATACACAGAACACACACTCTACTAAGCTGATATTGAATCATCCTTGATAATGGCTAAAGATATAGCCGAAAGCGCTCGGAAATACAGAACATTCGGACAGTTCTTACACACTCTTTGTCCAGAAAAGAAAGCTCTTGTCAGAACACAAGAAAAATTAAATAAAAAGCTCAACCGTAGTACCTTGTCTGTCGTTTTTAATGAAACATGCATAAAAATATATATATATACAGATATATATATATATATATATATATATATTCAGACATATATATATATATTCAGACATATATATATATATATATATATATATATATATATTCAGACATATATATATATATATATATATATATATATATATATATATATATTCAGACATATATATATATATATATATATAAAGACAGTGGGAGATTTATAATGTGTGAGTGCGTGTGTGTGTGCGTGAGAATATATATGTGCCTGTGTGTCCATCTTTAATCCTAGAATTTCGTATTTTAATCGTTAAATATTTTTAGTCTCAACCAAATTCAATCTCCTATCGAAAGGAGATGATTAAGTTTTTAAATGATTAATTCAAAACACAATTTTTTTTTCTGAAATATGATTTTCTTTAGAAAAAAAACATTGTTTTTTTAATTTCATTAGTTGCGTAAATAAAATTAAAAAAAATTATGAAGCAGCAGACAGTGTCTATTTTGGGGTTCAAAAAGATTATAGTGTGATTTTTCAACTTATTTGTAAAGTTTTAATAAATATTTATTTTTTTCCGAAATCTTTCTCTCAACTTTTGGACAAAAAATAATGAATAGATAAATAAGAAAAAAAACAAGAAAATAAAAGGGGTTGCTGAAAGTTTAATGACTTCTCTTTGTATCTGCTATATTTTTCTACAGTGAAAAATAACCTCCATATTAACCTAAAATACGTACTCTTGAATCATTACTTGAATTTTTGTGAGAAGACTTGGCTTATATTCTTTTTTATTGATTAAAACAGTATATTTTTAAATCATCATATATCTGTTGCTGCTTTTATAATCCTTGTATTTATCACAATATTTCAACCGTGGCATCCGCTTGCCTTCATTATGTCTGAATTTTTATGACAAGGTGTGTTTTTTCTGATTATACATTGAAAATTTTCTTTTCGGTACAAAATCTAATAATGGCGTATAACACAGATATAATTAAAATATGTAGTTAAAACGAGAGAAAAAGGTAGACTTTCATGTAATACGGAAGACAAGAATGATAAAAAATACTAATTTACCGGTTGTCGCTCCTCAGTTCATCAGAACTCGATCAAAGAGTAAAATAGTAAATGTACGCACCGACAAAGAAGAAAAAAAAACTCATAAACCGTTAGTAGTAATACACTAAACACAGAATATCTACAAGCAGATCAGATAAAGTCCGAGCAGGGATTACTTCTATTTACGTAGGGAAGGCTGCCTGGACTTAATATCAATTTTCAGTTTCTGAGTTCTAACTTAATTACTTTGAGACAATTTTAATTAAGCTCAGTCATCGTTATCATTGATCAGCACGTACCAGCTAAGATTTGTCGACGGCAGTGTGAACGTTTGCCTACAATTGTGAACTTTCTCGGTTCTGCAATTGCAAAACAATTAATAAGTAATCTGATTTGAGCATCGGCTTCTATCAGGGATTTTGTTTTTCACCATAATCAGCAAAGCATATCTAGATTATCATGTGAGAACATCAATAATTCCAGTTGTAGTTGGGACCCACGGATACATTGGAACCGGCTCATTGCAGGGATTCCTATTCTTTACAGAAATACAATGAATTTTACTCACAAGTCCAGCTAACACATTGCGAAGAGCTTTACCTATGTAAAATCTGTGTGATCTTAGCATTTATTTTTGTTCTGTTTTTTACAAAAATGATTAGTGGAAAATGTTATGAAGCCATTTCTGACGTTAGGTCTCTGGTTGGGACCCGTAAGAAAATCTGTCTACAACAGAAATTAAAGGAAATAATAATAATAATAATAATAATAATAATAATCGACCCGGTTATGGAGTTATGACCCGTAACAATTTTATGGAACTTCACAATACATGCTGACAGAGCACTCAAAGCTAATCGCCCAGACATCGTGTATAGAGACCGCAAAGCCAATAAGTGCTTCCTTATTGATATGGCAGTCTCTTCAGACTGCAATGTATCTTTGAAGATTTTCAAAAAGCTATCAAAATACAAGGACGTTGAAATCGAAATCTCGAAGATGTGGCACATGAAGACATCAAAAATCCGTTTGTAGTTGGAGCCGTCGGATTGATTGGAAATTAAATCAATAGGCTCATTGAAAGGATTTTTGATAGCCCATGCCTTAAAGAAATACTTAAAAAATCTTCTCACGAATACAAACCGCAACTTACGAAGGGCTTTATTGATGCAAAATATGTGGTATATCTTTTTTTTAATTGCTCAGTGGAAAACATCATGATGCCATTTCTAACCTTAAGTCTCTGGGCGGTACCCGGAAAGAAATGGTGTACACACCAGAAATCAAATGAAATAATAATAACAACAACAACAACAACAATAACAATAATAAGGATAATAATAATAATAATATTAATAATGAAATGGCCTTCTCCAAGAGGTCGGATAAAAATATATATCTGTTAAAGAATATGACTAAATAAATCAGTATAACAATCTACAAAATGAAATTGTAAAATGGCAGGTTTACGGCCATATCACTTTGAATTAATATTGACTCTGGTCAGTACCAAAATGCGTGACTGCTTGGGGATACCAGGTTCTGTTAGCTTGGATGTGTGGGTGGTGTAATGGATAATGCCTCAGAATTGTTAATCGGAGAGTCGAGTTCCAATTCCAGTGGGGTCCGTTATATTTATTTATTCGCAAATACCCTTGAGAAAGGTATGAATCCACCTCGTTTTCTCCCAGCTATGGTGTAATTAGTAAAACTTGTTTAACTAAACCATGATTATGTCAAAAAATACTTACAACCTAAAAATATTATATAACTTTAAATAACCTGAAAAAAAGCTTGATGATAAGATATATAAAACGAATCAATCAGGCAAAAAAAAAAATATATATATAGTAGCTTAAAATTACAGCTACGAGGTTGAGCTGGAAAGTTCATAGGCTAACTATGAAGGAGTTCATGTCGGTACTTTGAAACCTTGCATGGAGCAACTTGAACTCTTCATATTAACGAATTTCCAGGTAAATTGAAATGTCACTATTCAAAGAAGACTTCAAAAAAGTTTTGTGATGTCAACGGACACTCGTTGCCACTTATATAATGTCAACGAATACTCTTTGTCATTTTCGTAATGCTCGTTGTAGTAGAGACTTTGTAATCGCAGATACAACTCTAGTAACGCCGTTGAGCAATACAGGTATCAGACGCCTTCGAATAACACTCGAACTGATAGTACTCGCTCGAAAAGCAACCACCGTATAGTGAACAGTATAGAGAAATAGTAATAGTATAGAAAATAGCGATCTGTATAATAATAGAGATATAATAGAAATGATGATCCGTATAGTAATAGAGGATAGACTAGAAATGGTGATCAGTTGGATGCCACGCTAATTCCCATACATACGTTTTTTTCTATGGTCACGTGATCTACTTAATTCAATAATTAGATCGCCTGTGTTTGCTTACTGGCGACGTATGTTCAAACAACAGTGTCGGCAGTGACACTTTATTTCTATATAACAAAAAGGAACAAGTAGCGGTTCCTATCGTGGTTTATCAAGCACCGGTAGAAAAAGTCTTAAGTTCCTAACGGCATTCATGCTGTCATGGGTGATACATTAGGGGATGAGGTCCCAGATATATCAACAGTGCAAAATTAGCCAACAGAAATTAGGATAGTAAGTGAGTCTTGAAGATGACTTAAAGTTTCGACCTCCTACGAATTCTGCCACCGTTGAAACCATTGATAGTGATGATGATCCTACGATTGCTGCCACCGTTGAAACCATTGACAGTGATGATGATCCTACGATTGCTGCCACCGATGAAACCATTGATAGTGATGATGATCCTACGACTGCTGCCACCGATGAAACCATTGATAGTGATGATGATCCTACGACTGCTGCCACCGATGAAACCATTGACAGTGATGATGATCCTACGACTGCTGCCACCGATGAAACCATTGATAGTGATGATGATCCTACGACTGCTGCCACCGATGAAACCATTGATAGTGATGATGATCCTACGATTGCTGCCACCGTTGAAACCATTGACAGTGATGATGATCCTACGATTGCTGCCACCGATGAAACCATTGATAGTGATGATGATCCTACGACTGCTGCCACCGATGAAACCATTGACAGTGATGATGATCCTACGACTGCTGCCACCGATGAAACCATTGATAGTGATGATGATCCTACGACTGCTGCCACCGATGAAACCATTGATAGTGATGATGATCCTACGACTGCTGCCACCGATGAAACCATTGATAGTGCTCCATACTTGGTGGTGGACGTCAGGTGATTAACTATAAATTAAATAGCTAATGCTATTAGCATATCCCACGAGATAGTTGATATAGGGGTTTTAGCGTGTATAAACGAAGAATTAAGTGAATCTTTGAACACAGATCTACAAAATATGAAAAAAAAAAAACACGTGACTGGTAAAGTATATCGTAGCGATGATGACGTCATATCTGCTGTTGATGACATTTTTGGATAACAGCCCGAACAGTTTTCTTTGAGCAGTCAGATATCAGAAACATGGCAGTTATTAAAAAGAAAATTTGAAATTAATGCATGCAAGATTTCACTGCTCTAGCCTTCATAGTCAGCACACGAACTTTTAAGACAACTCTCGTTTCCCTATATACAGAGAAGGCGATTATCCCACTTTATAGGTGGGAAGTCACGTGGATCAAGTGACCGGCCGCTTAGTGACATCACTCGATACAGTGACGAAAACGGCAGTCAAATTCAGTTCGTTTTATAGCAGCTAAAGCGAAAAATTGCTCTCTTTAAACCCCCTCCCACATAAATGGCCCGGGCAAAGGCTAAATCTGCCTCAACAGCAGCTTACAAGTTCATGGTGCTATTTCTCTTTGGGAATATATCTTTTCTAGATATAGAACGAAACGCTAGTTCGTAGGCCTCAATTTCGGAAAGCACAAGACTCGCTGTTTTTCGTTCGTGCAATATGTCCTCGCCTGGGACATAGATGCATCCGGTTCGTTTGAAAATGGAGTTCTAAACATGGCTTCATCAAACAGAAGAGCATCTCGATATTTATTGTAAGACCCTTCCTTTTTTGTTTCTCCTCATACTCTGCTATGCTGTTTAGATATATGTGATATATTATTCTCTGCGTGAAACACATATGTATATATGTATACATAGTTTTGGGTATGTTTTAGTGGTATAAATGTTTCTCTCAGAATCAAGTAAATTTGCCATTCCTTTTTCTTTCACCCATTCCCTAAAGTACAGTGTTATTATATCATGTATATGATAATCCTCATGATGGGGGAAATAAATAAATTTTACCCTGGATACGATCAAAAAATATACAGACAAGAACATTTGGGAAAGGTATGAACCCTCCTTTTATCTCCCTCCTCTTATCTCTCCACGCTAGACTCTATTTACAATAGATCAAAAAATCCACAGTGTGAAATTGCTCGTCTATTCAAAAGATCATATGAAGAAAATATACCCAACAAATACGACTAATTCTTTATACTGATTCCATTTTTGATAGTCTGTCTTGTCCTGATTGATGAATTGTCACGAAACGGAGCTTAGTTAGTTATAGAAATTATTTGTTTTGGCACCATTTAAACCTCTGAGAAGTAATCTTCATAGATTGTTTGCTGTGGAATAGAATTCAATTTCGCTGCTTAAATTGAAAGCGCCGTCGTATTGCTCTATGGACCATTCTAAAATCATCTGACATTTTCTCGCCTTTCTTTCTCTTTACTATTATTTTATTGGGACGGGTAGATGACTTGCGTCTCGCCACGCTACAGCTTATAAAATCAAAAGAGGCATTTTAGCAGATATTATATATATATATATATATATATATATATATATATATATATATATATATCAAGATTGGCAAATTTATATCCTAAAGAAAAATCACTAAATGGAAGCGAAGGCGTACAATCTAAAACTAAAAAAAAATTACATAAAATAGAAGATAACGAACTCGATTGTGTCTCGGCATTCGCGTTTCTGATGTTCTCTTAACTCTATGTACCACATAACGATCAACGAACGTAAGCAACTTTGAATATATGAGGCGCACTAACCTTGGATGTGCAGGTGGTGCAATGGTTAATGGCTTTGAATTGTTAGTCAGAGAGCCGAGTTCCGATCCCCACTGGGTTAGTTATATTCACTTACATGAAAATAACCTTGGGAAAGGTATGAATCCACCTCTTCTCCCCCAGCTATGGGTTAATTAGTAAGACTTATATTACTAACCATTATTATTAAAAAACTTACAATCTAAACACATTTCCTTTTTTTAAATAAGCTCCAATGGGTTGATAAACCGTAAAAAACGAATTAATCAATCATTCTATATGCTCAAACGTCCCTAGGCGATCGTGGCTTTCCACAACTTCCTGCATTTTTTTGCTCTTAGCAATTTTTGCCGTTTTAATATCGCTCCCAGTCCCCGTTCTGTTTACACAAAGTTAAGTAGATTATTCACTGATTCCCTCTACATCTCTTACATTCAGTATGTCCTGTGAGCATCAAATTCTCCAAGCACTCTTTCCTCATTGTATGTCGCATACATGTTAACTGTCTCTTTTTGAGTTTAGGAATAATGGTTTCCGATATGAGTGAACAGACTACAATAATTTACTACCTTCTAAGAATTAAAAAAAAAAAAAAAAACGATATTGCAAATTATTGTTTTAAAAAATAACATTTTCGGTAATCATTTTTGTCATGGGTCCTTACCTATAACTACAGAATGAACTCTTCCTAACACTATGTATACTACGCCTCTCAAGAGAAAGTGACGAATCTGCCTCTGAGCAGAAAGGAACCCGGACGAGGCTCCGCCGAAGGGCAGAGTCTCGTTCGGGTAGGTTGATCAACCCAATCCCGTTTATACGGGTTCTACGGGCATTTTTTGGCCGAGCCTACGGGCTCGGGAAACCCACGTTAAACCCGGCCTTGTGCCACATGCAACCCTCGTGGGGAGGGGTGGCTAGATACCGAATCAAGCCGAGCTTCTCGGCTCGACGTTCGAACTCTCTGCCTCTGAGCAGAGGAACCCGGACGAGCCTCCGCCGAAAGGCAGAGTCTCGTTCGGGGAGGTTGACCAACCCGATCCCGTTTATACGGGTTCTTCGGGCATTTTTTGGCCGAGCCTACAGGCTCGGGAAACCCACATTAAACTCGGCCTTGTGCCATATGCAATCTTCGTGGGGGGTGGCTAGATACAGAATTGAGTCGAGCCGATAGTAGTTCATTCCAAAGCAGACTGACAGTCATACTAACACCTTCCACATCTTGTATTATTATTTCGTGTAATATACATTCGTTATTTCTATTCTTGCGTTCGTGTTGTTCTTTCTTGGTCCTAACCTGGACCATAACAATTTTATAATTCTGTATTTCATTTTTGAGACAAGGAATCGTCAATATGCTTCGATTATTTCAAACTATTGTTCTCATCTTATGTGTTGTGGATATTACTATGGACACAGTCTTCCAGCCAAGCATCCTCTTAGCTGTTTTCAGATGTTCATTGTTTGGCAGATATGAGATTTTTGACTTGTTTCTCCCTGGAATGTTGTTCGTACCTGCTGAACTACTGCACCACCGTCCTCAGGAGTGTACTCTGTTTCTTTTTTTCATAATCCAAATTGATATCACTAAATTTTGACCAAACCAACATAAGGAATTCAAATAAAATTATCATATCTTCATGTGAGACCATTCTAAGAATACCCGAGACGATAATCCTGAACTGAGAAAAGTGATAGAGGAAAAGACTAAACAGGAGAGACAGAAAAATAAATGGAAAAATAATAAACAATAAAAAAGAGCGTAAAAATAGTTAATGCTCTTGGAAAGCTATATCTGAAAAACTGGAAAAAAATAATTAAGCTAAGCAGGAAATGTTGTTGAAATGTGGAGATTGGAGCGGAACGTCACAATAAAATCATACAATCAAAACCAAAGCAGAAGAAATGTCCTGACATCAAAAACACTCGAGCGTAAAAATAGTTAATGCTCTGAGAAACCTATATCTAAAAAAATTAAAAAAAAAACAAACTTGTAGATGTTAAGATGTTACCGTATGTTCTATTCGAAGAGTTTATTTATCTCGCACTTCTTAGCTGTGGAACACTCTTCAAGTATTTTGCTTCTCTGCCATCTTGCTCAATCACCATCTTCTGGTTTCATGAACCCTGTTCGATTATTGCTCTTTCTCTTCACTAAAGTCTTCTCATTTTCTTTCACTCCCAGTAACCCCTTGCGTCTTTCCAAGATTGTTCAACTGAAAAGGTGCATTTCAAATAATATGCATATATCATTGAAAATCTTCATTCTTTGCCATATTAGCTTATATACATTTATATGAATGTTATTATACAAGAGTTTTACAAATTTAAGAGCAATAGAAAATGTTGATGGATTTCTTTTAACTTGAATGAATTTACATTAATTTGTTTTAATTCAAAGCTAATTCTTAAATAAATAAAACAAATCATACTTCACTAAACAAATACAAAGTCAGGGTATTGTAATTCGATGAACAAAAAAGTTCAATAAAAGCCAGAGTATTTAAATCGCTTTTATTCTCCTGAAAATTAGTCATGGGCTCGAAATACAGTAAATAAAAAAAAGAAGAAAAAGTAAATGATTCCCCCCACCCTGATCTATAATTTCCAAGACGAGAACTATTGTTCGAAATAAAGTTTGTTTCCGGTGACAAATTTATAAAGATATCATCAGCAGAATCAACGATAGGAAGTGGACACGTCAAAACAATAGTCCTTAGCGAGATACGCAAACAAAACCATTGTTTTATGACATACGCCAAGCCATTTATTAAGTTTAGATTAATTTAGTGCAAGGGTACAATAAAAGATATCCTGTCAAAATCGAACTGAAGACACTGCCAAAGGGTCTGCGAATGACGTGGCTATTGATTGATTATTTTAATAAAAACCTGACGTTTTAGAATCACTGGTTTCGTGGATACGATATGACTGCAAGGAAATATAAGATAAACATTATCGGGGAGACATAATATAAACATTATCGACGAGATATATTGTAAACATTATAAACTGTTTCGGTTGAAATTCTCAGTCGTATGACTCAATGAATGTTTGTCACATACAAGATGCAGTTTATGTCTTACTAGCAGTATGGCCCGGCGTTGCCCGTGCTTGATTCAAAAATCGTACGACTCATACAGCAATCGCTATCACTTGATTTAAAATATTTTTACCCTTCCTTGCCTTTAAAGGAGTGCCCTTTGCCGTG